TGCTTCTGGCAGTATCTCGGCCCTTGTTCTTTCTCCGGGTGACATGACGGCTATGCACCGAAAGGTTGTTACAACTGTACATCCGAAGGAGATTTAAAAAAGTGTTTTCATCGGTGAGGGACCTATTGAATTGGTGAGTCCTAAGGACTGGCCTCTGCAAAAAGACAGACATGGATGTAGTCCCTGTCAGTTGCCTCACTTCGTTACTTTGAAGATTGGACGAAGTGGAGTATGTGTGGGACACAAAGGAGACACGCACGAAAAACATCGTCAGTTCGTTAATGACAATTGACCTATCGTTCTATTCACAACCCACTTTAAAGGCTTCGCATTTTGAAAGGACAAAACAGTTACGTGACATTTTGCGAAGGCCAACTCACCAGGTGTCCACCTCAGACGCCACCACCAACTTTTTTCGTAAATCCACTCGAAGTTATCCCGTTTTTCAGGTTTGCTCGACTTGTTGACAAACTTGGTCCCAGTTATCCCGTTTTTCAGTTTTACTCCACTTGTTGACAAACTTGGTCCCATTAGATCCTTGCTTCTCATAAGGACAGACTGTCTAATGGATGAAAAATGTGATCGAGAGCTGATATCCAGAAGACACTGCCCAGTTGTGAAGCCGCGAGTGTCTAAGGTAGCAGACGATAACTATTAATGGGAACAAAGCCATATTTCTAACGCTTTTATAGCGGACCGATCACGTGACTAATTGTATGCACCAGAAGCTAAGAACTGTGTTATCACGCAACCAGAAGAACAGCGTTGACAAGTCAGTCGACAAAGGTAGTTTGTATACTCATCCTCGCTATGAGGGCCAATTAGAGCGCGTTCGTCGGCGTGAACAAGCACTGACAAAGCAAATCACTTAAGCCTATCCAGAGACCAGCCAGCCAACGCGATTATCGTTTTGGTCAATCGCTAGTCCTGCGGCTTTAGCTGGTCAAACCCCGAACCTTCGGGATGTTCTCACTCTCTCACCGTTCGACATAAACGTGACCCGCCTGGCCTTTGTTGAAGCCTCATGGATCAGACGATTTCAACCGTCATCAGAGACAGCAACATCATTATTGATACCGTACAACCACAAAGTTTATCCAATTATACTTAAAGCCTCAGAATAAAGAGAAGAGGGAAAAGTAGGTGAGCGGATTCGAACAATCTGTGTTTAGAAGTCCCTTTATTGGAATCAACAGGCTCGTTCGTCGATAGCAGCTCGGTTGCGACGTTATCGATTATGATTTGTATACAGCACCTGTAGTCGAGGATGGCTGTAGCTGGTCGAATAACTTTATCCAACCGGACAGCGCCAGGAGACAGAAGTCAACCGAGTCATGTGACTCCAAATAGCCATACGTGAGCGTTTGCCTCGTGTAATAAATGTTCAGCCCTTTTAGGCCCAAGCTGCCATGTCGCATTAGGGCTGAGAGACTGCCAGTCGGGATGCTGAGGTTGGGTTCGAACTACGGACCTTGACCTTGAGCTCGAGTTGGACCGGGGGAATACATTGAATAGTGGTATCATTAGCGGCCTTCTAGCTTGCATTTCCGCACCCAGACTTGGATGTAATCGCGCCTACATTAACACAACAAACTCATCCGAAATGTATCCCATTATTCGGGCTAATCAAAAGACCGTTATATCGTGAAATATTTTCTAATTTGCCTCAGTACATGCTCCATCGACTCTGTTAGAGAAATCACAATGCCAAGTTAATCGATCATCGCTAGATGATATGAAGTCGACCGGATGCAAGACTATCTAGACTCGATGAGACGACGTCCGGCGTCATGAGGGAACTCGCCGTGGCCTCCGAGGTTCTGGAATACTTGGCTGCATGATCACATATCACTGGATCTGCTTAGTGGATCTAGTTGGCGGATCCACTACCGCTAACTGGCTTTCGCTTGCATAGTTAGTGAACGGGCGTTCCATCGCTTGAAAACAACAACTTGAGAGTGGAGCCAAATGTCACTGACGAGATCGACCAAGTGGCCAGAGCACGACTCACCGGAAAGTCCGTGGTTCGAACCCGGCCTCTGACTCTCGACTTCCCCTGTCTAGGCTTGGGCAACCTGGCAGTATCCGAGCCCTCGTGCCTCCTTCTGGTGGTATGACAGTTAGGCTCCGAAAGGGTGCTGAATGATTTTTTTTTAAATGTCACTGGCGACCTAGTGTCGACTGATAAACGCCCCACAGAAAGAAAAACGCCAAGTGAGCTTCGCATTAGTGGGGCCAGTCACCTGCTGGCTTACTACCAACGACCATGTGTGTGTGTGTGTGTGTTATACACCAATAGAAACTCCGTTTGAACAGGCACCGTAAACTCAATATCACAAAAAGACCAAAATTTGGTTCCACAATGACTGCTGACAAAGAATCCAGGAGTCTCGCCCCCAAAAAATTGACTCACTGCTGGGAATCAGTATATTACCTCTTTTGCGGTGAAACCACTAGGAATGATCAATATGTATGTATTTATGTATGTAGACTATGTGATCGCTAGTAACCAGGGGGAGTGATTGCTTTATCTCAGTCAGGCCTTGATTGTGTCTGCTTTTCAATATTCTCTTGGGGCTCAAAAGTTTTTCAGGACTAATCACCCACTGCTCCTGAAAACAAACCTTTTCCACCACTTTACGATTCGCGTTAGAGGTACTGTTATTTGGTGGCTAGCTTTATTCTCGTGCGACCCATTTGTGTAGCGTTTTCTGGTGACGTCACACAAAACAGGGCGCTTGCTTCTAATAATATCTGGAATCCTTTTTTACTCTGCGATTGGTCAGCCAATTATTTTAAGTCCCATTCTGCGATTCCTGCCCAACCAAAATTACAGCTGCTTTGGAGTGACCAGTTGTTATAAACTGAATAGATTTCAGGCCCTTTTTAGGCACTTTGTGAAATTTTTCCTCACAGAAAAGGTCGAGTTACACAGCTGTTTCGTTCACTTAAGCAAAACTGGCATAGCTCTTGTCTGGATATAGCCCATATAAACCCCCACCATGTCACTGATTCGGGAACCTTTGCTAACCGTCCATGTCGCTGTGACATTTTGCCTACACGGATCGAACGATGCGGACCTTTGTTTTTGGTATGCCTGAAACCAGACACGTTTGGTTCCTCCCGTTTAAGCCGTAGCAATTGTTCAGCTGTAACATCCTTTTGGTACCTAATCGCTATGTCACCCGAAGGAAGCACCAAGGCTTCCTGATTGGCCAAGCCTAGACAGGAGCAGTCGAGATGCAGAAGCCGGGTTCGAGTCATGGATCTTTCGGTCAGTAATTCCGCGTCTCTAAAAGTCGTTCAACTGTAGCACTCTTCCGGTGCCTAGCTGCCGTACCATCCAAAGAAAGCACGAGGGTTGGGCTACTGCCAGGTTGCCCAGGCCGAAGCAGAGGTCGGGTTTGAACCACGAACCTTCCGATCAGTAAATTCGCGCTGTAACCTCTTGGTCCATTCCGCCCCGCGTCTCTACCACTGAACCATCTTGAGCAACATAGTCACGGCCTATGATGGCAACCAAGGTTGTCCGGATTGTTCTCCCAAACGTTCTCCAACCCAAGAGGCGTCACCTTTCGGTCAATGTTCTGCCGTATGAATCTGTTCAGAGCACGCACACTTTAGGGGCCAAATGCACCAGCTGATTGCAGCACTGTGCTTGTGGGTACCAGAGTAAGAAGTACACTTTCGTCTTTTCGTTGTGATGTTCCCTCTCGGCATCATTGTTCCGATAATTGTACTGGCGTGCGCGTGTGAAACGCGTACCACGTGAACTGCTTGATTGTCATTCAAGTGAATTCCCACGAGATAATGACATTTTCAAAGAATCGCGGTTTCCTGTTTGTTCCAACGAAGATTTCGTCCCGTCAGTGAAGCCAATCTTTACTGACAGGCCGAAAAACGCTGATCTGATCGGTACTGACCAAACGGTTAAGTGTTCAACGACTGACTGAAAGGTGTCGACGGCTGGAAGCTTTGAATTTCATGAGATACAAACCCGTGATGATCCCCAACGAGGAATAAAACAGCTGCGCATCTGTTCTACTCGATTTTTCAGCATAGAATGACTTCACTGACAAGTTGAAATCACAATCAATCACTATGTGTACGTCATTTTAAATTGACAATTGGTTGTTGTTGTTGTTGTTAGAGGCCGTAGAGGGACGGACAGTGGCGAAACTCGACAGTGAGAGAACTGCTAAACAACTCCTGAATCACAGATCCTGGTACGAATGGACACGAGCGTAGTCGGTGCTCGCTTAGCTAAGCGCCATGTTGTACTTATCTTGAAATAGTTTCCATTCCTAGCGAACTACACTCATTTGCAAGCAAATTGGGTTTTGCGGGAGACTCACCTGGAACCCAGCTGAATCTCTTGTTTCTGATGTTTCCAGGCACCAGGCCGCTCCATGTTTCAGTTGGCACGATATTCGAGATATCACGATACATGTATAGACGTAATGCACTAGTCATAAGGTTGCTGACAGCCCATCTGTGTTCCAGGTGGGTCTCTTGCAAAACCAAATTTGTTTGCAAATGAGTGTGTTCCGCTAATTTCGTGCAATTTTGGTTCAAGTAGAACATGAGGTTGACGGGGACTGCGCCGAAACCGGTCGTAGGCAGTGGAACGGTTTTCAGTCTCCATTTCTGTTTTTCCATATTTTTGCCAAATATGCTCGAGGTAACTCAGTGAAAGATCTATGGTTCGAATCCACTCACAGCATCCCCAGTCCCCTGTCTAGACCGCATGACAATTTTTCCAGCTTCTGGTGCTTCCTTCGGGGATGGCTTAGCAGCGAGCACTGAAGCTGTACCGTTACTATTTGTTGCCAGTAATTAATTGAACTCTTTCCCTCATCATCCCACCGTTTTTCACAGTCTGTCCGACACAGCCAGCCCGTAGTCGAAACCGAATCGTTTGTTGACGAACACGGAAAACTGATCAAACGCACTGTGAAACGCTCGGAGGTGACGACCACCAAAACTGTGAGTGAGCGAGTTATCGCCAGTGAATGGGAACCCCCGGCTCATGTGAGTTACACTCCCGACGATCGTCCTGCCTTTTCTCTATGGTCCACGTTCTTTTTTGTGCCTGGCCGTAGAATTCTCGGCCAACCTTTTTGGCAACTGTCGACTGGGAATCGAACAACTGTTCGCGAAGAATTTTCCGCCAATATCACTCCCCCCCCCGCGTTTGTTTATTCTGTTTCGTTAGTCACCTATTAGTCACCCACTGGTCCGCCCCTCAGGAGACTAGTGGCTATCATCGGACAACTAGCCGATCAATAAATAGTTCGATGTCATTGGCATAATGCAATGAAATTCTTCCCTATTTTCCAATTGTGTGATTGACTGCGGTATATCACTACTCTTGAGCGCCGTGTAAACGTGAATGCAGTCGTTTTTTTAATCGATCGGAGCGGGCTTAACAATAGTCTGATTTTCCCGAATTTTTCTTTTTACTTTCATCAAAGCTGCGTTGATCAATAGATCGGAGTTAGTTAGTATCAATCTCGAAATTTGTTCATCGGTAGGTGGAAAACGGATTGAAGAACTAAACACACTGTCCAATCGGGCACAAGATTCTGTATCACAAGGAGTAACGCGTTTGTAAGGACAAGGTGTAAATAGGGATGGATACAATGCGTTTTTTTCAACTCGGGACAAAATTAGTCCAGTGCCCCGTGAATGGCCTAATCTTTTTCTAGATATTTCTTGCAAACCGAATTGTTCGACTTTCATGCTCGAAATTTAACTGCCGTTTTGGAGTGCCCAACTCGGAAACTGGTCCGAAATGACTGGAACATCAGCTGAGTCGTTAGAGTGCGAATTTACTGACTAGAGGAAGGTCCGTGGTTCGAATCCGACATCTGCCTCACGACTTCCCCTGTCTAGGTTGCGGCAACCTGGCAGTATCCCAGCCCTCATGCTTCCTTCGGGTAGCACGGCAGTTAGGCACCGAAAAGGTACTGCAGCTGAACGATTATTTTTATTATTTTTTTATTAAGGCATAACTTAGCCTAGCTTAACACGAGGCACAACTGGGCACGTACTTGTTTGGTTTAGTGTGGCATTCCCGTGCAGCTGCCCTTTTAATCGGTGGGTCAGCGCAGCTGGATGCGTGAGGTGTGACAAACACGTGTTAACTGCACGTTGCCATGTTATGCGACCTTCGGATGAGAAAATCTGGTGTTGCCTTTGAAGATAGCCTACCCGAATTACCGAATACCGTTCAACGTCCGGATGCTAACGTTCAGTTTTACATTTTTGAGAGTATAACAAAGAGTACATCTGTTCGTGAGCGGAATGGCAAACGCACCAGAAGATTTGTTGGAACCACCGAACGAGACATACTTCATCCTTTTCAGTGCGTCCCAAGTATTTCCATTGAAAGGAATGCATTGAACCGAAGAGGCCAGACAGCATGATCGAAATCTGGTTCGAATGTCGTTCGAAGGCTCAACACACCTTATCCGAGCGACTGATGTGCGTAGACTTCACTCCAATACACAGAAATTCTAGCCAAATAACTTCACGGGCCTCGTACATGATCCTTTGGACAATGTTGACGTCGGCCTTTGAAGCACGGCCTAGACTTAGTGTCAGCCTTTGGAGTGCATGTTTGGCAGTTCATCTATGTCCATCTGAGATTATAACCACTTCGATTACCCCCCCGCCTCGAAGTGGACGAGATCCAGTTCCTGGTGAGATGCGACGGCCACTAGACGGTTCACCTTTCTAATCACTAGCTGACTTTGCAGTTTTTCTTTGAAAGGATAAACCGTGTTTTAACTCAGTACAGACATGTCTACACCGCCGTACCCTTTGTATGGCCAAAAAATCGTTCAGCTGTAGCACTCTTTCGGCACCTAACTGCCATGCCGCCAGAACGAAGCACGAGGGCTGCCAGGCTGCCCCAACCTAGATAGGGGAAGTCGAAATGTAGGGGTTGGATTCGAACCACAGGCCTTCTCGTCAGTAAATTCGCGCCCTTACCACTAAACCATCCCGTACCTGGCAGTCTAGGTGGAAACTGGATGTGCGAACGTCTTTACTGCGTGTTTGTGACCACGTCTTGCAACATATCCAACCACATAGGAGGTTATGAGGCGTACACCGGAAGCCCGGCTTGTTTGCGGGCTTCGTCCCGTCTGTGCTTGGCTGGAGACGTTGCAAGAAATGGCGGCTAATCGATTTAAGTGGCGTTCGTGCTGTCAGTTTCTTTCCAGATTGTCTGATTGAGCGGTTGGAGGTGTAGGCACCTCAGAATGCTTAACATAGGCCAGCACTAGGTATCCTCCCTCCCTCACTCTTTTTCTCTTCTTTTCACCCTGGGGCTTTTGTTATAATTATATATATAATTTCAGTGGTCTCAATAGGTTCCCGGGGTATTCTGGGAAAATCTTCAGAAATCCGGCCTTTTTGGTATTGTTGGCCACTTTCAGGAAAACAGTCAATGTGGTCGTGCGGTACACAGTTGGAGAGACCTGTTGACACGTTTGTAAAAACCGGTTATTTAACGCGACTTTTCTCATCTTCACCATACATCTGTTCTGATTAATGTATGTTTTACGCCTTCAATCCTTCAGACCAACGGGCACGTTTCCAAAGAAGATCCGGATCAAGTGCGTTTCTATTGATTTCACTTCCCAAGCTTATACGTGTCGCTCTTGACTGAAATGTTGGCTGACAAGGCCACCATGACTGTGGGTTCATTTTAGGAACCCTGTAAGAAGCGTTCCGGTGCTTCCCTCTACGATAAGGCCATCTCTACAAGCTATAATCGGACTGTCGTGGCAGTATTAATAATAACATTAAAATCGTTCGGCTGTAGCATTGCTGTCGTCCAACTAGAAGGCGATATGAGAGCCAGGTTTGGGTTCGAACCACGAACCTTTCGGTCAGTAACTTTGTGTCCAACCTACCTCGAGCTCTGTGTTGGTGGTAGTAGATGATGTACTTGGACCAGATTTCATTGCAACTAATTGGCCCGGAATTAGTAGGTAGTTGAGGAACGTTAATGGTTCGTTCACCAGTCACAGCTGAATACTACTCAATGTATGGTTTCTATTAGTAGTATATGATAGGATGAACCATTTTATCCAAATCGGAGCCGTCACGTTTGTCTGCCAAGTGTGATTGTCCCAATCGATCAGGTTGCCCGTTCAACACCTAACCGTCAGCTGTCCAGATTTTTGGCGAAGAGTATAGTAGTATATAGTAGTAGTAAGTTAGGTAGTTGAGGAACGTTAATGGTTCGTTCACCAGTCACAGCTGAATACTACTCAATGTATGGTTTCTATTAGTAGTATATGATAGGATGAACCATTTTATCCAAATCGGAGCCGTCACGTTTGTCTGCCAAGTGTGATTGTCCCAATCGATCAGGTTGCCCGTTCAACACCTAACCGTCAGCTGTCCAGATTTTTGGCGAAGAGTATACTAGTATACAGTAGTAGTATATAATATATAGTATACATATAGTATATAGTATATGTATGGTATATATATAGCATATATATAGTATATAGTATACATATAGGATATATATAGTATATAGTAGTATATAGTACCGAATAACAGTGATTTTCAGTCAGGGTCGAAAGAACTCGGTCTTCTTGGGGAAGAAGGTCGGTTCATCGTAAATTTTCTAATACCCAGATTAACGCTTCCGTTCCCAATTCTATTGTCTTCGCAAGTGTATTTGTTTCCCGCACTCGTTCGATTTTTGCGGATCTTTACGGATCTGTAGTGTACCCGGCACATAGAGTGGTGATTAGTTTACTTGCCGGCAAAGTGCAACTCCATAAACCACACGCGATGCGGCGGTCTGTGCCAATTCAACGCGTCCAATATGGGAACCACGGCAGAAATTCTTGTTTCGACAGACATGCTGGTTGTGTGCACTGCACTGTTGATTGTACGGCACGAATAGTGAAAAGCAGTTGGGGAATAGAACCGCCAGCACAGCTAATTAGCACGCTAGGAGTTATGCGAAGTAACGATAAAAGGGAGAGATCTAACTGGTGGGTGGTGGTGGTGTGCCTGACCTCGCACCCATAGTTTCTATTGTGGCTACCTCATTCCTCACTTGTGTGGCCTTTCTTTGGACTTGTCCTCACCTTTACTCGAATGGCAATCATGCTGGTAACTTTGTCTCTTATCCCTTTCAGGCACTGAACAAAGCCATCATGGAAGTAACGAACCTGGATCAAGATATTTCGGTGATGAGCAATTGTCTACGAAAGCTGGAACTTCGATCGACCCAACAGGACAGTGAACTCTGATCGCTTGTCACACGCATGCATTCAAATGGTCCCAAATGCCTTCTGGTTGATTGACCCGCACCATTACAGTTTAGTCCTCGTTCGTTCGCTCACTCGCTTCCTGTTCATCTTTCCGATATCGTGAAACTACTGTATCATCAAATCATCATCTTGTATGCCTCCGTTTTGTTTAATTTACAGAGATATGTCCCCCCCCCATCCGCATCATTCTTTATTACATTATTATTATTATCACTATTCTCATCATCGCTACTGTTCATTTGACTCCATCTTCTATGAGGCTCCATTGCCTTTTTGGCCGTAGGTGATTGTTAGCTTATCGCTGAGTCACAGGTTTTTTGTTTTCCCTTGCTTTCTGCTTTCTTGGATTCATCCATCCATCCCTGTCCTGTTTGGATATCTATGCACCGATACACATATATACATCTTTATATGATGAACAATCTTGCTCATCCATTGTCCTCCAATTTGACTCCCCCCTCCTGTAAACCTACCTCTATTTGCGTGCGTCGGGCGTTGCGTTTGCGATGCCCGAAGGCAATCAACGCCCGTTGGTCGACAGACGTTACATCTGTACCCCAGCTCTACCCATCCGGTGAGTTTTTGAAGTTATTCAACTTTTTGTTCTTTGGTCATCATCGACAGCATGACATCAGTGTTCAGCACCGATGCTTCGCTGCCGTACTGGTTGTACATGGGCTGGGATACTGTCAAGCTACCCACGCCTAGACAGGAGGACGATTAGGGGCCTCAACCAAAGCCTTTGGCTCAAAAGCCTAACCGCAAGGCAGCGGTG